AAAGTCCAGAAATGTTTAGATAACTACAATACCAAAATATACGGCTGGTCCGATTCCATGATTGTTTTGGGTTGGTTGAATGGAGACCCAGCTAGATGGAAAACTTTCATATCAAATCGAGTAAAAGAAATAACCAATGTTATACCACCCGACTGCTGGCGTTATGTGAAGTCTGAGGAAAATCCTGCGGATTGCGCTAGTCGTGGATTAAATCTCTCTCAACTCATCGATCATACTTTGTGGTGGAAAGGACCAACCTGGCTTCCAAATTTCAGTGATGAAGAAAAACAACGATCTTTTTATACCGATTTAGAAGAAAAACATACAAAACAAGTAAATATTGTAATGGAGGAAAACTTGAAAAATAATGTAATTGAAAAAGTATTGAATCATTTCAGTTCGTTTTCTAAAATTGTAAGAATAGTAGCATGGATATTAAGATGGTCACCTAAACAACAACAAAACAAACAATGCTTTTTATCATTAACAGAGTTGACTCATGCAAAAAATATTATCATAAAACACGTTCAGAATATAGAATTCTCGAAAGAAATCAATTCCATCAAAAATAGCAGTAAGATGCCACGCAATAGCAGGATAAGGGAAATGAATCCATTTTTAGATAAAGACGGTGTTCTAAGAGTTGGAGGACGGCTCAAGCACGCTAATATCAATATAGAAAGGAAACATCCTATTATCATCCCTAATAACTGTCGTTTAGCAGAGCTTCTCATTGATGAAGCACATACACTCAATTTCCATGGTGGAGCCCGCCTAACAACAGCCTTTTTACGACAAAAATATTGGATTTTAGGAGGTAACAACGCCGTAAAAAAGAGGTTACGAGGTTGTGTCATCTGTCGATATCACAAACCGACTACACATAACCAATTAATGGGCGATCTACCAGCTTCTCGTATCACGCCATCGCGACCTTTCTATCACACTGGCGTGGATCTGACTGGATTCGTAGAAGTAAAATCCAGTAAAGGACGAGGCATAAAAACTACGAAAGGCTACGTCGTTGTATTTATATGTATGGTTACCAAGGCCGTTCACCTCGAATTGGTATCGGACCTGACTTCATCAGCATTTTTATCAGCTTTGCGTAGGATGGCAGCAAGACGAGGAACCCCTCAGCATCTATATAGCGACAACGGAACCAACTTCGTTGGCGCGAATCGAGTCCTTAAACAAGAATACATAGATTTGCAACGTACGCTTGATGACAACTTCTTCAGAGTTATCACCGACATGGAGATCGAGTGGCATTTTAATGCACCATCCTGGCCAAGCGCGGGCGGTCTTTGGGAGGCCGCTGTAAAAAGCTTAAAACATCATTTGAAAAGAGTAATTGGCGTTCAAAAGTTGACGTTTGAAGAGTATTCTACTCTTCTAGCACAGCTTGAGGCCTGCCTTAATGCAAGACCATTATGTGCTTTAACGGAAGATTGTGAAGATCTGGATTACCTAACTCCATCACACTTTTTAGCCAGTGGTCCCACATTAACTATAATCGAGACTGAAAAAGATCAGCGTACTAGGTGGCAATTAACACAAAAGATATTCGATGATGTATGGAAAAGGTGGCGTGACGAATATCTCTGTCAATTGTCAATAAGAAGTAAATGGCGCCAACCAACAGTAAATTTCAAAATTGATGACATCGTAATTATTATGGATACTAACCTGCCTGCAGGGAAATGGGCGTTAGGCCGCATTGTTGAATTGCATCCGGGAACAGATGGCCTCGTCCGCGTTGTCACCCTTAAAACGAAAAATGGTCTTATCAAAAGACCCATCACTAAAATATCCCGCTTACCAACAAGCAAAACAGAAACGATCAAAGAAAGCATTGAATCTAACAAACCGCAAAAAGTCGTCGCTACCGCCACTACAAATATAAAACAAAAACAAACAACCCGGAAGTGGAATTTACCTAATTATTTATTTTTTATACTTTCGTTACTATTTACAATGGCACATCAAGTACGCTGCGAATACAAAATATCTAGCTTAAATTCTACTCAAGGTTTTTATTTCGATAAAATAGGAAAAATGCGATTAGAACAAGAACAGTGGAAATTAATAATTTATTACGACATGTCTCCATTCTGGCAAGGTACAGAGTTACTTGAAAAATACATTAATCACCTTGATAACACCTGTCTCAATTCAAACAATAAAATAATGTCACAATGTAAAGTAATGCTTCTCCAATTACATCACGGGTTTACCGAACTCGAACACTACAATGGTATACTGCTCGGTCAGCAGCTCCCACGGCCCGAGCGAGCGACGAGCACGCGACTACGCCGCGGCCTTATCAACGGTGTAGGTTACATCGCCAATAAACTATTCGGAGTATTAGACGACGATTTTGCCAAACAATACGCGGAAAATATAGAAATTCTCAGAAACAATCAAAAACATTTAGCTTTATTATGGAAAAATCAAACATCGGTTGTCGAGGCCGAATTAAATTTAATTAAAAGAATGGAAATATCTATAGATAAGCAACATAAAGGATTTAACCAGCATCTAAATTCCTTAGAAAAAGAGATCAACGAACAACGAACGGAACTTTATGACGCAATCAAAGGGAACGATTTTACATTATCATCTGTCATCGCAAACGGAGTTTTGATGAATTTGCGAAACATACAAGAAACCTTAGTGGATGTGCTTACTAACGTTTATCATGGCAAATTCAATTTTCATCTGTTGACCCCTGAACAACTGAGAATCGAACTAAATTTAATCACTGGACTACTAACACAAGATTTAACATTGCCCTTTAATAATAATCAAGCGGATCTATCAAAAATATATCATTTATTAACAGTCAAAGCTAGAGCTATGAAAAACTTCATAATATTTGAGGTTGGCATTCCATTAGTGAGACGAGACAGTTTTGATATTTATAAGTTATTACCTATACCCCAAAAAGTAAACGACAAAATTATGACTTTAATTCCCATATCAGATTACGTGGCAATAAACATTCAGAAAGACTCCTACGTAACTCTATATGAGAGAAATATACAAGATTGTGCTAACTATGATTTTGAAATCTACATATGTCCTTTAAATCAGCCAATTTATCAAATGCGATCAGACAAAGATCTGTGTATGAAAAATCCTATAACCTATGAATGCGAAACAACAACTGTAAACTGTAAAAATGAATGGACTGAGTTACGTAATATAAATACTTACCTATATTTTTGCTGCGGACAATGCCCTGTCCGAGTCATATGTGAGCATCACGTTACAGCGGCGCAACTGGATATGGCTGGCATAATAACATTAAGCGATGAGTGTATCATTAAAGGGAATACCTTTACAATATTTCCTCATAAACAGTTATCAAATACAATTGAACAAAAAGCCGACGTAATAAGAATCGATATCCCAGCCATCAATAATATCATTAACTTATCTATACCTACCTATGCAATTGAAAATCAAAACATGAGCGATCATATGAAGAATATCGAGAGTATCGATAAACAAATTCAGAACATGAAGGCACAGAATATGGTGCTAGAAGATCAAGTAAGCTACCACGACGTGCACCACTACGTGGCTATTTACGTGATCGCAGGCATAGGTCTCACAGGTTTGCTCTTTGTAGCGGTTCGTCGTCTGCGGAAGCGAGCGAAGCAGCCTCGTCAGGACGATGCGGCCGCCGTTACCACAAAACCACCACAGGTCAGCTACCACGCTGACCCCCGACAAACGACAGTGCAGTGTATGAGTGAAAGTGTAACAAATCAGTGTAGTGTTAGTGTTGATAAGGGCAATAAAAATGATAACAAAAGTGTCAGTGTTAGTGTTTCAAATAAGGCATCGTCGCCTGTACTTCAAAGACATTTTAGTTTATAAGCTTTTTGTATTTAGTATCACCTTGTAAACCAAAAATGTTTATATCACCTTGTAATTCACATCATTCATAATCATTTTCACTTTTTCTCATCTTTTGCCCGGGGAGTATGTACGAGCAAGCGCGTACATTTGCCGTATCATCACTTTACGCCATAAAAATTATTTAAATCAGTTCGTGTTCGAATAGCATATCAATCGCGCGTACTCATCTCATTATTTTTATATCAATATAATTGTTTCTATAATTGTATAATTTTTACCTTCGTTGTTTCGACACTGCATAATAGGAGGGCTTAAGCTACTTAATATTTGATCTGAGTGTATGTATGAGATATTGTCTTATATTTATTGTTGGCTCATTATGATCGAAGATTTACTACTTATACTATTATTGAATCTATAATGCTGGGACAGTTCTTTGATATATTTTTAATGGAATAGAATTTTTTGAAGAACTTTAACACATTTTGGTTGAGTTTTACTGTAAAACAGTATACCAGCTTTTATCTTCTAATTTTGAGTTAAGCCAACCTACCCACTTACCCATTATCTTCCGTTTTAAAAAGCATTTGTATTCACTTCTCCTATTTTACACATAATCGAACACTTAAATATTGAAGTACGCATTCCTAACTAAAAAAAAGCAGTAATTAACTAAAATTAAGCTGGTAAATACTTTTATTAAGATGCGACAGATAATCACAGAAAAGAAAAAAAAAACAAATTAAAACAAAAAAATTTGGTAAGTAAAAAGTGCATTATTTACTTCAGAGAAAAGTTTAGTAGTTCTGAATAAATTAATTAAAAAGACATTATTAAAACAAATCAAATATTTATGAAATAGAAATGTGATTATAACAATTATAGGTAACTATGTATTTAACTTTCAGCAAAAATAAGAAGCAATTACAAACGCCAACAACAAAAACCACAAATACAGTTTGCACTGTATGTGGTTTGTATTCGCTGTTCGCCATTTGGCGTCGGTGGCGGTATTTTAGCCCAAATCAAAGGATGTACAAAATACACTAGCGCGTTTGCCAATCGTAGAGGATGCATAGTGCGATACTCAGCAAATGGAGAGCTAGCATTAAAAACTAAAATGAAACCTTTCAATATTTATTTCTATTTATTATAGAACTAAATGCCTTTGCGATTAGTCTGTCTTCATTTTTTTCTGGTATAACATTTCGTTTTATATGATAAATAGGCTGAGCAAAACCATAATCTAATTCGCAATAATAAAAATGTTTACTCCTATCAGACGGATTAGGATAGTAAGCGGCATATAAAACCTCATCTACTTCATAAATTTTAACATCAATTGAATGTTGATATAAAATGCCACTCGTTAGCATTCTTTTAATAACTCCACAAGTTACATGTCCGAATCGATTACCCCATATATTCAAAAAACGTAAAATGTATGGCTTTTTAATCGTGTTCAGAAGGTCTAGTACACCCCTATCAGTGAGCTTATTATTTGAAATATCTAATGCACGTAATTTAGAGTAAGGCATTCCAAAACTGACAGCTCTGGCTCCCGTATCCTTAATTTCGTTGCCAGCGACGTTCAAAAAAATCAACTGCGGCCCTTCCGCTAAATATTTCGCCAGTAATTCCACGCCGTAGTCTCCTATCCTATTGTAGGACAAGTCGAGATACAAAAGAGTATCGTTCCTCCTCAAGCCTCTCGCAAAATATTCCATATCGTGACTGATAAAATCGTTCTTCTGCAAATGCAATTCGATTATAGTGTTGTTCCTTTCTAATAGGTATTCTATGTGATACGCCAGCCATTTTGTTTCGTAATTGTAACGGTTAAAAAGGGGGTCAATTCTACTAAAATCAAAAACTCTCAACGTTCTGTTAGCGCCGTGATCTATTCTCAACGCTGTAATTATTTGAGCGACGCTGGTCAAAGTTTGCCCGCTCTGTCCTATATCGCAGTGCTCGACGGTGGTATTATCGATGAGGAATTTAGCGATATATTCACCTCCTTTCGTCCCCAAATCATTACCGTTCAATCTCAAGTATTTCAATCTGACAAACTTCGCGTATTGTGCCAGTATATAAGCGGACTTCTCTGTTAAATTATTATTCATTATATTTAAATTAATAATGGCCGATCGGCCTTTAATTAGAAGCTTTTTAACCAGCTTGTAGAATCCCGTATCTGTTATTTCGTTGTAGCATAAATCCAGCACAGTGATCCTTCTGGGCAATTCTCTAACATAAAGATATATAGATCTGATATCGCTATCTTGTATTCTCAGTTTATACCTGTCATACAAATCTTTGCCGCGTAAAACCAATTTGCCGGAACCATCAGAATTTCTTTCGGTGAACAGCCCAAGTCTGGTTTGGTTGATTTCTGATTTCGTTAAACTCTCTGGAACACCAGTAATTTGCTGGAGCAAATGAACTGTGTTGCAAATACATTTTTTCTTTTTATGCTTAGGTGAATTTAGGTTTACTTTTAAATTACCCATAAAAATATTTTTCTAAAAAATAAATGATATAATTTCAAACAAATAATCATGAAACGTCAGAAAACTAAAGAGCAAAGAGTAAAGTATCTAAAGGGATTGTTTTTTGAAAAGAGCGAAGATATTACAATAAAAAAGAGTTGCTTGAATTCAAAAAGTTTCACCTTAAAACTATGCTAATTAGGATACCCGAGTGCAGTCTAGCGAAAGCGTTGGTTATGTGTATTTATGTACCATAATCATTTTAAAAATGTTAAACTGTGTTATTCGAAACTGTAGAAACAACATAAATAAGTCATCTTAAGACCAAGTGGTCATATTTCATTCGTAAGTGACCCCTTGATCTTAATTTATTTGCGGTTTAATAAATAAAAAAAATGCGCCTTAAAAATAAAGAGTAAATATCTACACCGGTTACAACTTGTAAAAAAGATCTGTTGAATATTATGTAAGTAACAGAATGAACAATTCGACTTTAGTATCTACGCTCTACCTTACATTTATTTGAAAATTTATATTAGAATGAACCTCCGGAACTCCGGTTTTCGAAATTGGAGCATCGAAACGTAACTCCGGAGATAAAAAAATACTCCGATTCCGATTTCTATCGAAACCCTTGTGTTATTTATTATACATATTATATATCAGTGTCAGGTTTTTTTATTGCTTGAAAAGCTTCGTTATTTATACACGAGCAAATAATATATACTCTAACGACAAGGAGAAATTATAATGTTAGACATCAACATTTTTAAATTGAACTGTTGAGCGAAGTCTTTAACTCGTTTAGGTAAAAGTAGGCATTAAACATGCATTAAATCATTATATGTCTGGTCTATGTCATGTTCAATTTTAGTCTATGAATAATAGGAGAGTATCGTCCACGTGCGTATATGCTGGGAGGAACAAAATGACCGACACAGCCGAAAGTTTAAAGTTAGGTTACATGCAAACGTTCATTTTATTTGACAAATATTAAAAATAGAGGAGGTGTAAAAATAGAGTAAAAATTTTAGATTTCTAAGTGTTGACAGCCCTATAACGCGCATGCGCAATATCGATTGTGTGCAGATTACAACGAACCGCGAAATACATTAATTTAATTTAATTATTTACCGATATCTTAATGATAGTCGATGCTGAAAATGTCCACTTCCTCTCTGAAGACTGATTGTGAGCTAAGCACGCTCTTTTCAATGCCGCACATGCACGCGCAAAACACATCACATTTCACACAAAACTAAACACAATCTTCACTAAACTAAACTTAACACTCAAGACGAACACTCTAGCATCTTATTAACAAAAATTCAATTAAAAATGCACTAGAACAAAACAAAAATCGACAAAAAAAGACGCTTCGCAGCGGTGCGTTGGCGGCGATGCGCAACAACGCTTTTTAGTTTTTAGTTTTTTGATGATCAGTTATGCATGATAGCAGTTTGAAAAAAACTAGGACTATTTGACTTGTGAAATTAAAAAAAAACTTAGGGTATTGAGAAAAAGCAGTAGAAATTTTCTACTTTTTTCAAATCAGAAACCGGCTGTTAGTCTGTAAATCGATTTAAGCATTTTGACTGCCTTGTTTATTGATTGTCTGGTAGAATTTGCATGAAAGCAGTCTTATAAATCACAAACTAGTTTATTTCGTTTTTAGAAATGAAGAAGTCAATGACCGATTAAAAACTTTTCCTTAGTACGTTCCAAAAACAGCTGATTCAGGGTTGAAAACACTCATTCTTTTTCAAAAATTTTGTGATTTAATATCTCCGAAATTATTTGACCTGACTTATAATTTTTTTTTATATCATATTAAAAACAAATAGTACTCTGCAGGAACCTCGGGAGTGTCGGTTGTTCTGTTCCACCGAGTATGCTGGGGAAAATTTTTGACATCATATTAGTACTGGCATGACCTATCTAGAGAAATAAAAAAGGGTAGATAGGCTACCCTTTTTTATTTAAAATATTATTGGAAGAGAGTATAGAAATTGGTCAAATAGGTTATATACTTGTTATATAGGTACTCGTTTCTAGATTCAATTGTTTTTTATTAGTAAATATTTCATAAAATGTACTATATGTATAAATACAGATGAAAAAGAGCGAATAACTTTTTAAAGATTAGAACCAATTAATTGATACCTATTATACCGACTTCATAATAAACTAGTATACTATAGTATACATCATACAAATAGAATAGAGTATCTAAATATTGGAAAAGCTTCCGAGGCCCTTCAAAGAATTCTCATTTTATCATCAGTCGACGAACGGAATTATATTGCCTTCGCCTGGAATTTGATAAGAATTCCATTGTAGGTGTGGAATGCCATTCCAGGGATCGCATAAAGAAATTCTTAATTGAATCGTTATCGGCAAATAAATTATACCGCCTGAATACCTACTAGTTTGTTGATTTGGTTGATATTGTAGTGTCATAGGTTCTTATAATTTACTCGTATTAACTATGAATTAATAGGTAACAAGTACTTACGTAATTTTTGTATAAAAATAAATGACTAATCGAAAATATAAGTTAGCATGTCACAAAGTTGCTGAACAAGAAGCTATTTTAGAGTTACTCAGGACTAGAAAATTTAAAATTGGAATAGGTGAATTAAATATGACATTTGTAATAGACAAGCAGTCTCATTTTCAATATTACGTCCTTAGATACCTTTGATACATTGAGTCTTATAAATAAAATAGCACACGAAAGAAATAGTTCGATCTACGACACTAAAAGTTATTTGGTTAACTACATACTGCCACAATATTCATCTTTAACATGGAGTTGTGCATGGAGGTCATTAAGGTGATGTGACACAACATTTGACGTCTAAAACGTAAAATAAGATTTTTGGATTCGTAACGGTGCACTGAAACAAAAACTTACGATTTCTGGTCATAGTCCTAACGTAATTTAATTTAAGTGAGTCATTTAGGAACTTACTGTGTTCTATTTAATAAATCGAAAAATAAAATATTCCTTTTAACAAGCTAGAATTTGAAACGCCATAGATTTGTGATGTGTGGTTATAGTAAGTCCAGATGTCTGTTATTCTGACACTAGTCAATTTCTTCTAACAACTTGGCTCGTTTGCTTAATACTCGTAGCTCCATTCGGTTTATATTTGACCTTAGTAAATACAATCACATCTCTAAATACAGGAAACAACTCGGATGGTTAACTATCCACCGACGTGGGAACTTGCGAGTTGTCTGTATGCTTTTCAAAATCCTTTACGATCCATTTACCCCTGGATTTTTGAAGTCTAGGTTTCAATATCTTGGTTCCGGTCATCAACGTGATCTTCGCTCTAGTAGCAACCTCATTCTTCAAACTCCTTTTCATCATACTGATTTTGTTTCCAAATCTTTTACTCTGACAGCTATTCGCCTTTGGAATACTCTCCCAGCTCATATTAAAACTGCTTAGTTAGAATGGTTTTTTAGAGATTGATGCATGAGGTGCATGATCTTCATATGTATTTTTTTATGTATATATTTATATTTTATCTATATTTGCATATATATTTGTTTAGAATATATAGTATTATGTATTATGATTTTATTAATTTGTTTATATTTAATAATTTTTTGGCCACCGTTTCTTATGTTTTGTTTTTTTTTTATTCTTATCGCCTAACATCCTGACTCCAACATCTTTTTCTGGTAGACTGACAGAGAATGCCTTTGGCATTAAGTCTATCTTTTGTGTTTAAATGCAAAAAAGAATAAATAAATACCTGGCTTTCAATATCTCAGCTCCGATTTTCAAACCTCTCCAGCCCTTAGCCACCACCAGGCCGTACGCTGTTAAGTATTTGTCCACTCCATAGTGAGTGTAAACGTCCACGCTGTTGGCAACAAGTTCTACAGCACCGAAGAGTTGGGCCCAAACCTGGTCTTCGGTCTGTAAGAAGAACAAAATTAGGATAGTGACCGCCTAACCTAATTTACTCGGTTTAACTGGCCATTTTTCATTGATTTTTTAAAAATACTGATAAATATCTTGTAATGAAAACAAAATTTTAAACAAAACAATTGTTTAGAAACATTGCCTGAACATTTTAAAAAATACGCTCTCCAGTAGCTTCAAATAACTACTGCTTGAAAAATTCCTCAGCCTGTTGGGTCTTGGATAGCTCAATGATTAGAGCAGACGGCCGCATTGTCAAAGGTTGTGGTGCTGGTAGATTTTTCAAATAATATTTTTTTGGTCACTCATCAATGACCAGCTTTTGTGAAATTTGCCTAACCCCCGCTTCGTAGTCCGAACGTGCTAACGGCTACGGCATGGGTTGTGTTTCGTCACTCACATGAAACGGCTCTTCCTTATCCTCCTTGCAGACCACAGTGAGGACATTAACGCCCACTATCTGCGGATTCTGCTCCTTGTCTTCCACACAAACTATAGAGAATTTGTCTTTAATGGTGTTACGCCATAGTTTCACCAGCTCCGCTACAGCTGACGGATGCTTATTGATCTCTGGAATCAATATATTGACGTTATACATTTCCTTTTTGTGCTGTTATTATTATGTATTCAATGAAAAAAATAAAACCGTTTGATTGCTTGTTTGTTTGCATTAGATAGGCTCCGAAACTACATAATATGCTACATAATGCGCGGACGACATAGGCAACAATTTATACAGGCTAAGTCACAGGAAAACAGCGAGTTTGATAGAAACCGGTTCACAATTCAAGAAGAAACCGATGAACATACCTACTTACATAAAAATATACATATCCAATGAACATAGAAAATTGTCAATCAAATTCACAATCTTTTGTTTTATTGCTGATATAAACATGTTATCAAAATATTTAAGTGTTACCTGATGAAAAGCATTAATTTGTTTTGTTATAAAAATAAGACTTCTGATCCGATTCTGAATAAAAAAAATATTGATAATCGGTTAACAATTGGCGACAATTAGTTTAAAAATAAATGATAACATAATAAATGCCGTCGTACTTATAACCTTCTCCTTTTTACCTGATTGCGCAATGGAAAGGAGGGTAACATGTTTAGGAGTCTATGTAGGTATGTATGTTTGTTCCTAGTTTGATTTGTCTTAACCTTGCGAGTGGTACTAAACACATAACAGTAATCAAAATTATTTTATAGGGTACCTCCCCTACATGCAAAGTGGGGATGATTTTTTTTCCCTATAGTGTGGGATATTGTTGGATAGGTCTTACAAAAATAATACAAGTGTGCGAAGACCGTTTTTAGATATAGTGACTTTTAAGTGCCAACTACTTTAGATCGAGCTGTGGTTGACTTTAGTTTTTGCTAATTGTCGAGCATATGTAGCTTTGAGCCGAGTGAGGTCTCTAGAGGGACTAATAATCAGTAGCTTAGACCACCGCAAGTTGCTTAATAATCCTCACAATATAATAAACTCCCTCAATGAAATGACAAGGTTGTGAAATTTATCGTCTCATAGTTCTTATAACGATGTTAATGAGAACTAACTAAAAAGTGTAAAAATTTTTTTTATATTATAAAATACAAATAACCCGACAATGTGACAACCAAAGGAAGAAGTGAAAAAAAATTACTTTTACTAAAACTAAAAAGAAAAAAATAAGCCCAGTAGTTTGGAAAGTTATTAAGTACTATTGAATATCTGCTTAATTGAAATATGTAGTTTTAAAATCTATACACAAATAAAACATTTCAGTATAGTCACAAATATTGAAGGACACAAAAAATAACCTCAGTTTTCGAAGTCAGTTAAAAAGATACTCCTCACCGATATACTTGCAAGGCGGCTCGTCTCTGGTGAAGTTCTCCCTGAGTATGTCGATGCATGGCTCCACCAGGTCATCGGTCAGGTCCTGAACACGGAGCGGAGTAGGGACACCATCCTTGTGCACTGTGAACCGCCACCACACTTGGGGAAACGGTACGTCCGATGGCCTGATGAATACCATTGCCTGTTTTGAAAAGAAATCATTATATTTTCATTAAACCTTCTCAGACTGGTTCGTAAGCCAGCTTGTGTGGAAGCGTCTCAAAAGTCGCTGGTTAGATTCTCTGCGGAAGAGGACAAATATTTCTCTATGGTCTTCGGTCTAGGTCAGTATTTCCAAACTATGTGTTGTTACCTAAATGGGTTGCGAAGGACCCATACTGAGTGGGTTCTATGGGCGATTCACCACTATCTAATATAATTTACTAATCATTTGCTGTTCAAACATTTCACTAAAACTCGAGAACGGCTTGAGCTGATTTTGGTTTTGAATAACTACCAACAGCACGTTAGATCATGCAAAATTAACTTTCTCTACTTGATTTTGAAATCGGTCTATTCGTTTTTAAGTTTATTAGTTACAAACAAATAATCTAACCTTAACTTATAAAACCAAAGACGAAGTTATTCTTATGTAGTTAGACGAATATATAGTTATATAAACATTAGAAAAAAAAACACACACAGCTTCCTTTTGAAGAGGATGATTTAGCTTTTTGATGAAATTAGCCTCTATGATATAAATATTCGCTACTAAAATAGATAGTTAAAATACGAAAAGGTAAAGAACATCAGAAAATTAATTGTAAATATCGAAATAGAACAAGCAAATTTTATGCTAACAAACATTAGCTATGTGTAAATAAAAAAATACTATGTGAATTAATTTTACCACAAAGAAATGATTAAAAAGTAATTATACTGTTAGCCTATAAACTCACAGTGATTATCAGAAGTCGTTGTTGCTGATGAGATCACACCGACGTCTGGAGACGACTGCCTGAGGGTGTTTGAAGTCACAGGTACACCGAGAGCAAAGTTAAGGGTGTCCATTACGCATGCTCTTGAAGCGAGGCAGTAATGTAATGGGATCTGTATAATAAAACTATATAACAAATAATAAACATGCATACAATCAATAAGATATGAAGAAAAAAAAAACACGATGATAGGTAACGGCTAGCAAATGAGATAGGCTGAAAATTCATTGTTACTTTCAAATAACCTATCAAAATAAATTGCGCCAAGGGAATCAACCGACGGCACCGTATCTCAAGTTTCCCTACTTCCTAGTCCTTTCTCCGGAAGTATTCAAATGGACCAGCAGACGGACACACGGAGAGTACGACATAACCTCATTACCCGCCAGGAGACGGTTATGTCACATTTTCTCTAAAAAGACATATCGGTTTCCGCGAAAAAATACAGAAAATATAATATCATCATTATTATCTGCCTACAGCAAGATCATTCATGACTGTCACACAATAAAGAGTGGATCCTGTTACTGCGCGACTAATTTAGCGATAGGTAAACGATAAATAAACACATTGTATTTTTGGTATTACGCTGAAAGTTAAGTAAACTATTTTGTATATCACTCTTAGTCGCGCTTGTCTGAAATGCAACTGCAATAATTACCAAATTAACACGAAGAATTCGTTGACTCGAATTCAAGATAAAATTACCAATATCTTTAGTTGGTCTCGTTGTGCCCACAACCGAACGTTCCGTGGCGTCTAATCGCCTCAGTTTCTAAGCATTTCTCACTGAAGGATCCCGCTTGATATTAAATATCACAGATGCATTCCATTTTAATCGTACCTTGACTTATTAATTAACCACCTTATTTTGTAGTTTCTACTCTTTTGATTTTGTGCAATTGGTTACAAAGAATCGCCACTAAACATTTTATTGCATATCAATATTAAAATACTAATATTGAAGTAGCTCGGTGGCGTAGTGGTTAAGCGCTGCGGCCCGCGATCGTTGTCGTTAAGCAACTTTCGCAGGGGTCGGTCACGGGATGGGTGACCAAAAAATTATTATCTCGAGCTACTCCGTGCTTCGGAAGGCACGTTAAGCCGTTGGTCCCGGCTGCATTTGCAGTCGTTAATACCTCATCCTCCTTAACCATCCGTAAGGAAGGCCTGAGCCCCTGCAGTGGGGACATAAAAGGGCTGATGAATATTGAAAAAACGAAGATTTGATTGTTCCCAATTAATTAGCTCCTAGACACTGGAACGTAAAAATTCTTTAACCTACGGCATCATACGGGAAGAAATCATATACCCGCGTATGATTTCTTCCCGTATAATACGGGAATACCTAGGCTATAATTTACGAGAGAAAACAGCCAGTGTGGGGTAATTTTTTTTTTCAAACTTGTCCATCAAATTTTTGTGAGCCGTGATACACGACGCAGGTTTTATTGTACACATTGTAAATGTCAGAAGTTGGTGTGAAAATGAACTCCGAAAAAGAGTTTCATGACAGTTGAAGGTTATTTATTAATATTTTTCAGTATAGCATTGTGAATACAAAATTGACTAAATATAATAATTATTACTAAATAATTAATTAATGAACACTCACAATACGGCTGGTTCACTAGTTCTATGGAACGTGCTATGCTCTGAGTTTCTCTGAGGGATAAAATTTGTAACGAGGTCATCCGACAGAGAACCATAATCGATGGGGTAAGCGAGTTCTAGAGTGGAGACGGCGAACCCGCAAGCGTTGTGGAGGAAGTTCAGAAGATGAGACGTAACATCACAGAAACAGTCAGCCCGTGACCACGGCCGGTGTAAATATAGGCAGGTGAAAAACCTAACTACCAAAATCTATCGCGTTAATACCCGTCTTATACAGTCTAGTCATCATCATATCAACCGAGAGACGCCCACTGCTGGGCATAGACCTCCCCCAATGATCTCCAACGTGATCGGTCCTGCGCCTCCCGCATCCAGCGGCTTCCCGTGACCTTCACCAGATCGTCGGTCCACCTTGTGGGGGGCCTACCAACCTTCTAATACAGTCTAGTACCTACTTTATAATAATAACATACTGATATAACAAGCTTCAGAAAGCTCTTGCACACTTTTGTCATGAGCTCTCTGTCTAATCTATATATCGAATAGATTTAATTCAATAATCGTGTTGCATAAAATAATGACATGAAAACATGTCGCTAACAGCATCATAGGTATAACGTATATCTTCATGCCACTTTTACGAGATGCACGTTTGCGCTGACGTAATCTGCTTTCTGCAGTTCCCATCGCAGCTTATAATAGCCGACGAAGAGATATGTTTACAAACAAAACCTTGTCTCTACAAACAAAATTTCTTTGTATCATTGTTTTGACAAACAAGATTTTAAAGGTCGATTTCCTGAACATTTCACTTTAGTGTAATGCGGTCATTGTACAGGAATCTTTGTGCCTGAAAGGTATACGATCACAAGACGGCGAACGTCGTACCTGAGCACTTTATGTAGGGTAAATGCATCAGTGTAGAGTTTGCTCTAGAAAGAGAATTTGAGATGAAAAATAGGAGCATCTATTAATGAAGCTTCTAATTACGTTAATTGAGTATACGTTATGATTTCATACAACTCTGTTCAGTATTATAGTGTAACCTTAGTAAAATATTACTTATGAAAATTTATAGAGAATGAAAACATAAACACAAATGAATGTCCTGCGTACCTAGAAAGTGTGCGCAGTTAATATATTTTTAATAGTTGATACGTACTAAACTAGTTCTTATCCTAAAGAAATTGAGCCAAGCTTTAATTAACTTATTTTTTAATCACTAATATTTTTTACAGTAGTCTGATCGGTCTATGTCATGGATGCATTTGCCCCATCACGCATGCTCTGAACTCCGTACTTGGCATACCGCCATTTTGGCATTCATCCAGATTTCTTGGTTACCACAACGTGTTCCCTCAATACAGTTCACTTTTGACTAGAAAACAGATCGCACGTTACAGTTTTTTTATTTTGTTAATAATAATATGTTTTTAATTAAGTAATAATAAACCATCAAAAATTCAAAAGATTGTCCCTTTTAAAAAGTTTGTTTTGAGTTTAAGAAAACGCGGCAATAGCCGCCATTTTGCTGCGGTTTTTGAAAAAGTTTACACGCGCAGACAAAGGCATTGTGTTTGTAAATACTTTGTGTTGTCTCGTTACGACATCCAAGGATTAGTGTTTGGAGTTTCTACTTAATATAAGGTGGGTATTTATATTATTACAGTTTTAATACGTTTTTGTTGCATATATTTTTCATTAATTTGTTAATAATAACTGATGAAGTCTTGGCTGCTTCGAAGCATTTTTGAACGTTCATAATCTAATGATACTTAATAAATTGGAGGCTAAGAGAATGTATTCTCAAAAAATGGAAATCTATTAAATTATGTATCATTATTATCACCAGCCTGTTAATGTCCATACTGCTAGGACTCAGACTTTCCCTATGGATTGAATCGAATAGGGAGAATGGTTCATGACCAAGGCGGGTCCAGTGAGGTTTGGTAGGTGTTCACGATTGCGGATACAGCTGGGGCCAGCCAACGGCTTAATGTGCCTTTTGAAACATGGAGGAGCTCGAGACAATAAATTTTCACCCATCCTATGATCGCCTCTTGCGAAAGTTGCTTAAAAACCATATCGCAGACCGAGCACGCTAACCACTGCGCCTTCGAGCGAATATTGTATAAGTAGTGCTGAGAAAAGCCGACAAAAAAATCAGTAAGAGGTACTTCTTCTCCTGCTAGTTTTTTTCATACAGAATGAAAGTTATTTCATTGGACAATAAAGTCACATTCTGTTACGAAAATGGGAATAAGTAATATAATTGCAATTAACTGTTTAAAATAACATGTTTATGAGACAAAATGGCATCTTAGTTTATGCGCTATGGCGCACAAGATAGGTACACATATAAGAACTTATTAATTCGAACAGTTTAATTTAATGCGTCTCTGATATAAATAGACTTAAGTCGATGTGTTTTTTCGGAATAAAATATTTATTTTCATCTTAAGCGCCAGACGTCGGAACGGCGGCGGGTGGATCGAAAACAAAATAGCTGAAAATAGAATAAGATCTTTCACCTTGTCCTTGACTTACCTTGTAGTAGGAAAACTTATGATCAGAATACAACATTTTATTGAAAATAAATTAAAAAATTACAAAACGAATCGCCACTTAATTCAATTGGAATAGGTGTAGAAGTCGCAAGTTCGCAATTCAGTAATTTTAAAGGATGTCTAACCTACAGTTTAATATTTCAATTCATCTCCGTGAAAATACGTAATTTTCACGTCGGTACTCTCTAAATCTAAACGTATCTATGGAACGTTTTGTTCTGCAAATAGCTGGTTCAATTACGATTGATTAACGGAACAAGACATTTTTGCTTTTATATTGTAATTCGCTATATAATGTTAATAATTAGATCGCCGAACCTATTAATTTAGATTAATTGACTTCCTCATTCTATAATAATTGAAAATAATCTTAATTATCTTTTATGCTATCACCAATCAATCGACAACTTGTTATATATAAATAACAAAACAGTTAGTTGTTTTTAGCCAAGAGCACGCTGTTGCAACGTCATATAGCTTTGAGTTTAATGTCAATTTTAGACGTTGCCGTGGCAACGGCGTTATGCGTTATATGCCATTTTGATATTTCTTATCGTAATGTAAAATTAACGTGTTAAGGTAAATGGGAAATAGAGTGTTATTTATACAGGATGTAATAATAAATAAATACCTAATGAATAATTATTAATAGGAACCATTTTGGCTTATGGACAGAATAAAGGCGGTCAATGGCTTATAAATATGTAGTTATAGGAAATGAATTGATATCTTGTTTGGCTTGTAACAAAGTATCCATATCCAAACACACCAGTTGAGATGTTAAAGCAATTCAGATTCTTAGTTGTCTTGTTTGTTTGTTTTGGAAGATTTCATTAGACATTAGGATTACTGTCAAACATGGTATAAATGGTTTCAGTTTTTTTTCACTTTAATCACTGCATATATCAGCAAGATTTATATTATTTCTTAGATTTAAATTGGTATAAACCACCATAACAGCATTTACCTTGCTTCAATATTAAGAATCGTGCATACGCAGGGGCATAAAACTCTACAAAAAAAAATTAATTCCCAAACTGATTTACTACCTAGTATTTTTATTTGACATGGCATCATCGGTCATCGCTCCCAAGGTAATAAAAAATGGTTTTGCCAATTGGTGATGCTGCCAAACTGCCTTACAGACGGAACGCAGCACCAAATATGGTGTATCACCTTGTAGTACCCAGCTGGCAGTACAAGACAGATCTTGACCCGTTTTTCTGACGTAATTTGAAATTGAAGAGTCAACACGTGGACTACTTATTTTTGCGTATTATTAATCGCTTCGTTACTTTAAATGTATATAGAAAAATCTTAGCGCTTCACAGCTCACTAAATCATGAACATGGCACATAGTGATAGGTACCTCTGAACCTATGTATAGGTGGCAAACCATGCCAAACAACAAATATTTTGGTCATATTGAAAAATCAACTTTGATTACTTATTCTTATAAATTAATGTGAAATTACAAAGTTTCATGGTTACCCATATCTTTGACAATGACGAAGTAAACATTGTGTAAAGATGAAATGCTAAGATATCATATCAGAGAAAAAAATTACAACTATACAAAAGTGTAATTTTGCCAATGACCAAAGAAACGTTAGGTACTACTCTGATTGGTCTTTTAAATACCTCGGACATATAATCATGTTCAAAGAACAAGAGACAATCAAAAGACAAAAGGTTCTAATAATTAGAGAAAAGGTAATCTGTTTGTCGTGCCATTCTACTCCGAAATTCGAGCACTCTAAGGCAGTTACCTAGCTCGTCTGGAGTCATGCATGGCTATGGCTAGACAGGAGGTCGCACCCCACGCCTTAGAATCGGTTAGTTTCATGCTAAAATAAAATAATATAAAATCATGTTTTTGAAGTTGCGCTCGTTTTACAAATAACGTTTATTAAAGTCATACAAATTAAGTGTTACAAAAAAAATTACTTAGTAAGTAAATTTTTATCTATTACTGAAATTTTCCATATATATAAAAGCTTATGATTAAAAAACAGATTTATCATAAAAACCGGTAAAAATATACTTAGTCATTGTGGCATCGTATTCTTAACCGGTTAATCGACCATTTCATACACAAACCTTATTAATAACCAGTTTTGAGGAACTACCTGGGGTACAAATCCAAAATTGATGTAGACAAAGTTTTGTAATGTAGAAGGACATTATTTAATATAAATATATTATATTTTAATACGAAAATGTTGTCATCGCAGAAACCGGAAAACAGGCAAAATATTACGCATTTCGCGACGAAAATATAAAAGTAATTTATAATCGGCTTGTACTAAAATATCAGCAATTTCCGCGCCATTGTCATTGGTTTTAAAATACGCATTTTTATTTCTTTGATATCATGTTTGTAAACAAAGAAACACGTGGTGCTATCTCTTTTTGACGCCCAAATGTTTATCGATTTGTTGACCCATTTCTTAACCAGCATTATTAGAACTACGGGAGTTTGAAGAAATGATGAAAATACAGATCTATAAATGAAAACGTTGTTGAGCAATTTGGATTCTATCCAATCGTGGTGAAAATTCGCGAAAGTGTTGAATGAATCGAACAAAGAATCTGGAAGACAAACAATATGTGTCAAGGAGAGAGTTAAACCCATGGCAGTCTTATTATCAGACGAGGACCAAAGTTAGTACTTTGTTAACCCGTAACCATAGACCGCCTACATCAAATTGAAAATTACAGAAGAGAAAATTTCTTCATCTTCTATTTTAATTCATGGCCTATTTGCATTTACACATTTCTGCCAATGTCACGTTTGTGGCATTTACAGGTAAAGAAACAATAACAAAATTAAGATAATTTTGAGGTAAAATGGAAATAAAAAAAAGTTATAGTGATAATAATACCAAGAGAATAGAAAACAAATATAAATTATAAATAAAGACTATTATTGATTGCTAGTAATTTAGATAAAATTTTATATGGACTTCAGGACTTCAAATTGAGATGTGTTCACTTAAGAGTTAGAGACGATTAACAAAAATGAGAATACGCTCTGTAGTAGCGAAAAGTAAAATGTGCTTGAAAGATTCGTCAGTCCTGTTAGGTCCTGGGTAGCTCAGTGGTTAGAGCAGTCGACTAGCTTGCAAAAGGTTGTGGGTTTGATTCCCATCTCAGGGTGCCAGGGACCAAGTAGATTTTTTAAGCATTTTGTATTAAGAATATGTTTCAGCATAGTATTGTGAATGCGTAATTAATTAAATATAAAAATGTATAAGGTTCAGATAATTAAAGATGAAAATAATCTTTTACTTCGAAACAGATATCGTCAACGTAAGAAAACTATATACTAATATGAATTGCTAGTAGTTTAGATAAAATTAAGAATTGACTGGGTTTCTCCATACTCAGATTTGGTCGTACAATGGTTTCATAAGAAGACGGCTGACGTTTGTATTTTATGATATCCTGAATGTTTAGTTTATTATTATCGTTTTCTTTGATGCAAATAAAGCTTTATATCATTTAGTTCTTAATATTTGATTGTCATCGACATCATGTATTGGAACATGGTCCATAACTATTAATTAATGAAACTTTGATTATATGTCAATCGAAGCTATGACAATAATTTTTCTAACGCCGATCCTGTACGAATAGGAAAATTTTGGAAATTGCTCTTAGCACCATTATTATATTTTTGGCACTGCGTTATGCTTTACGTAAACCTAAGATGAAATCATTTTCATTTGAGATGACAACAGAAATTAGCTGTTCATGTCGGGTTAATGACCACGTACCTTTGTCGTCCACTCTTATGTTACATTTATTTTTAAAAATTACTTTTGCTTCACATTCTGTCTACATAATAACGTATGGGTATTACAGCTAATAGGTGTGTGACTATACTTAAAATTTACATTACTCGAATATGTTTCAATTAAGCTGCATAACTCGTAAAAGCAGAGGGTGTAAACATTTCTTTTTTTAATGATATTAATGATACATTCATTTTCAAAGCATTTTCAAGCCTCTTGTTTGCCCTTAAAAATGGGAGGAAAAAGAATAAGGAAAAAATCCCAATGTCTGCAGACAATAACATCTTAACCTAACTAATTGCAGGGTAGCACTGTGCAAACTGTGTTATGACGTAAACTCAGAAGCAATGACAAGTCAAGCAGTTGATAAATAAAGCAATTGTCCCCAAGAATTGATCAATCTCAATCACATGTTAAACATGCTTAATTAATAACACGACTTCTACCATGTGTTCGTTTATGACACTGATCTATTGCGCAATGTATATAATTATACGTATGGTGCGTTTTGCGAAATGGCGGGTGTCCAACGCATGTCCGTTGCGCACTTTTGGTGAGAAAACGTGCGTCAGATGATACCACGAAGTTTTTCAGACAAAGGACTTAGGTATTTTTCTGCAGTTTACACAAAAATCTCCTTTCGGCCATTACCTCACTAGTTATGATGACAGAATTACAAATCGCTACAGTTTTCAAAGAGTTTTTTTTAAATAATATTTGGCAACAGTCTATCTTATAGAGCGAGTGGAAAAACTTTGGTTTATTGCCATCGTTTGTCTAAAAGAATATATTCTTGATATCATGAAAGTAAATATCATATTAAATACAATTAACAACAAATACATTTATTCTCTGTCATCAAAAGTCGCCTTAGATGACATCACATACATTGCTCCAATCCAAGATTGAGTGGGACTTGTATTCTTAATGAAAAAGTGGCTGGACTTGTATTATAGAAATCTCAAACACGCAGATCCGAGGAAAAATATTTAATATTTTAATAAAATAACGAATCGAATCCGGGGTCTATAAAATAGCGAAAAGTTGAAACCAATGTACGAGCCACGGCCACGGAGGTTGTGTAATTAACCTAATGATTACTTCAAATGTCTCTGTACGCATTTAAGTTTAACTTAAACTAGCTATTATTAAAATTCATTATAATCGTACAATTAGAAACTATAGGCGCAAAGGCTTTTCTCAGCTGCCTTTACTATTTCAACAGCATTACAATCAAAACAGCCAAAGCGTTTTGTGTTTCTTTCGCTTCAAGATGAGAAAAATTTTATATAGACTTTGTAGATGACAAATAAAATATACTATCATAAAATTGTTTTTGTCAGCAGTGACCTGAAAATGCCATCAGAAGTGATATCGCAGTCGGAAAAGTCCCTGCAGAGAGAGCTAGCGGATTCAATCATCCGGATGGTTCCGTTGGATGAAATACGTATCCTACTAGCGTGTGGTGCCAAGGTGAGCAAGATCCACATTACATCTTATTTATCATATCTTTATTTTGTTATCTGTCAATCTATGATGTACCAGTCAATGGAGTACTATAGGCTTAGTTAGTTTTAAACTATTTTAAAAATTCACGTCGTCCAGTCTTGGAAATGTGCTAAAGTACCTCACGAACCTAGGTTATACACGCTTGGAAAAAAATATGTGAAATTACTGAAACAGGCTATGTACCAAGCAGCAAAAAGCGGTTTTTAAAGTATCCTAGAACCATGATTTCCTGAGGATTATATATAATAATAATAATTTATTATCTTCCACAAATGTTCTTAAAAATTACATCAACAAGTGCCAAAGTAAACAGTCATATGGATGACTGGAGCCAGAAACTAAGCCTAAAATAAGGCTTGATGTTTTCAAGTCACCGGGGTTCTCCTCCGATATTGCAATTTTTCTAAATCGCACATTTTTTTTAAACTGAAATTAACAAATTAATCATGATTGTCATGCAGCTCACCAAACAATATCATTACTTTAGCCAAAAAAAAACTATGGTAAATATTTTTTATATTTAAAAAATCAAAAATATGTATGTTGAAATTTATATTTATGTAATTAATACATACTAAATACATAAAATGTATGATACTCGTTCATTAAATATCAGACAGCATCACCCATACACATTGCTTAGATCTTACTGAGGTAGCTAAGGTATTCGTTTTATGGAATTTAGGCACGAGACAATGGCATCACCCTGAAACCAGCGTGCCACCAAATCGGCTGCAAACTCGTCAAACTTTACATTATACTTTATTTCAAGAGATTTTCAGTTTCCTCGTATGTTAATGCATTTAACCAGCAAGAGACAGTCTTTTTGCAATTTATGTTATTTTTGTAACTAATCTGTAATATTTTATTAATTTTATTATATAGACGTCCACCTTGGTAGCAAAAGAATCTTTTAATAAATTTGGTGTTAAAAAAGTTAGTTTTACATACAGCGTATTGTTTACAAAGTCTAACAGTTGAGATGTCGTTGTTTTTAATATCTATCAATTTATGCTGTTTAAGTATTATTGTTAGAATATACAGTTGCCTTACGGTGAGCATGCCAGTCTCCTTATATAGTGTCAAAGTCGGATATAAAATAGGCCTGAAAAAACTAACTTTAAGAACGTAACGTTGAGCTCTTTCCAATTCTATTAGGTTAGTTTTAGCGGCGCCTCCCCAGGTTGAGATGCAGTATGTAAGTAACGATTGGCATAGTGATTGGTAGATATTTATCATCAACTTCTTATTGGCCACCCCCCGTAGATTGCGAAAAACAAAAGTTAATTTTCGAATTTTTGCAGACAGACTAGCTATGTGCTCATTAAAATTGAGATTCTGGTCTATTACTACTCCCAAATATTTGACAGACTTTACTTTACTTATGGATAAACAATTGCACTCATTAAGTGGTGGGAAAGAGCAAACATGAGCCTTAATTTTCAGAGAGTTACTGTCATTTATACAACCTCTCGGAGTATAAGTTACGTGATTGGTTTTTGACACGTTAAGTGAAAGTGAATTTGCAGCTAACCAGTGACATACTTTGTTAAATCCTTTTTGAGCCCTATAGTAGACTTCATCCCAAGATTTTCCATGAAAAGTTAAGCTGGTATCATCCGCGTAAGAAATAATTCTACAGCCTTCTATATTTAAGTCACACAATTCGTTTATATAACATAAAAATAATGTGGGTCCCAGTATACTGCCTTGTGGAACGCCACAATTAATAGATGCATCATTACTCTTATATCCACATATTTTTACGCATTGTGTTCGATTTAAAAGATAATCTTTCAAAATTTCAAGCTGTATACCTCTTATCCCCATGTTTTCAAGCTTCTTTATTAAGAGGGAATGCGAAACGGTATCAAAAGCCTTCGCCAGATCTATAAATATAGTTAAACATTTTTCCCCAGTATCTATTTTTCTTGCAACAAGATCAGTTAATTCAAATACGGCATCTGATGTTGATTTTCCTGATCTAAAACCAAACTGGGCTGCAGACAGGATGTTTTTTGTTTCTAAGTATTTAATTAACCGGTTATTAATTATTTTTTCTAGGACTTTAGAAATAGCTGGTAGTAGAGAAATGGGACGATAGTTCTCAACACGATCCTTTCGACCACCCTTATGAATCGGCACCACAATTGCCTTTTTAAGTAAGGTGGGAAAAATGCCCTTTTGTAGGCAGCCATTTATCAGATATACTAATATAGGCACTAATGAAACCCTAGAGGCTTTAAGAAATTTGGATGTGATCCCATCATGCCCAGCAGCACTATCCGATTTGAGGCTAATTATTAAGCTATCTACTTCTTCAGGAGATGTTTCCAGTAAAACAAAAGAATCAGACTGTGAGTTAGCTTTGTAAGGGAAATCGGGTAAATTTTTTGGAATTTTCTCAGATAGAATAATACCTATGTTTGAGAAGTAAGTATTGACTTCATTAATAGAACTTAATTTGTTAAATTTAATTTTTAGGAGATCCTGTGCTTTTTCGTTTGGTGTTTTTTTAATATTTGCAATATTTTTAATAATAGACCATAATTTTTTGTTATCGTTTTTAGCTGCAAGCAATTGATTTCTTTCATAAGATTGTTTTACTTTTTTTATTATTTTTGTGCAGAAATTACGATAGCGATTATAGGTCAATCGAAGGGTAGCATTATTAGGTTGTTTTCTTAACTTTAGGTGTAGCATATCTCTGTTTTTAATACATTTCAAAAGTCCTTTAGTCATCCATGGTTTTTTCAATATTTGTTTTTGCGTGTGTTTTCTAAGTGATGTATTGTTTTCAAGTGTTGTTTTCAAAAAATAATGTAATTTATGAAAAGAATCATGAATATCCCCATTCATTCTCAACTGTTCAAGATCAAATTTTTTAATCTCAGATAGCACCTCTTTATAATTAATTGAGGGTATAAGTCGATCATTAATATTTCTGCTCTCATGGTGTTCATTGATACACAACAAAGTAGAAAAATGGTCAGTGATTGTAGAAGAGATGACAAATGTATAAGAGGGTAATTTTGTTCTTAATACCACATGATCCAAATTACTATCACCTCTGGTGGGGAAATTATGTGCTGGAAAATAACCCATAAAAGATAATATTTCGAAATAGGAATTAGTTGCGTGATTACAATCTAATAGATTTATATTTATATCGCCACTCAACACTACATTTTTGTAATGTGTTAAATTTTCTAGAATTGTTTGCATAGATGTCATAAAATTGTCAATATTTTTAAAAAAGGCTGGTCGATAAATAGCCATTACTACAATTTCCTTCCCTATCTTAACCAGTAAACAATTTGCATCGTTGTAGTTAGGCTCTTCTATTTCATAGGATAATGATTTATTTACATAAATTACCACACCGTCGTTTTGATTAAAATCGTCATGCGACTTATAACAATTATAACCCTCCAAAGAGGGTAATAACGTTTCTTCATTAGTCCAGCACTCAGACAATATAATTATATCACAAAATATATCTATACGTGTTAACAGTAATCTCAGTTCATTAAAATTTTTATTCAGACTCCGTATGTTTTGATGAAATATTTTAAGATAAGTTGTTTTATCCGGTATTAAAAGTTTGCATTGTTCCGGTTTACACGTTATTGCATCGGATACTTGTAGACAATCTAGTTCATTTATAAATTCTATAGTATTCAAAGTCATTAATAAAAAATAATATAACGAGTTATTAAATATTTAAGGGTCCATTTTTTATGGATGGAAAATAACATATAAAATAATAAATTCACATATTGTAATTTAATGTAGTAGTAATTTGTTGTATAAAACCTGATATCATGATAAATTGAAATGTAACTTCTTTGGCATCTAGGGAATTTTAGGCATTTTGCAATGTGTATAATAAGTAGGTAAAAATTATTGTATATTAATAATTTATTTTTTTCCAATATGTACGAGTAATTATTTATAACATTTACATTTAGTTTTCCCGTCGTATTGGCATAAAAGTACTTGTTAATAGTAACTGAATGACATGTATAAGTAATCCAAAGGTAATTCTGACATTTAAAATAACACACTAATACCTTTATTGAGATACTGTTAGAAAATTCGTAGGTTTTATCCTTGGAAGCTCTCGAATCACTGCCCGAAACAATAAGCCAGTTTAAGATTATAATAGATGCAACAATCATTAGAAGTACATAAGTAAATTGCACTCTGAACGAATGGTAATAAGTTATTAGGTATGAAGAGGTATAGTAATTCAGTAGATTACTTAGGTTTGTGTAAATACCATATTTCACAAGTGTATGGAGATGCATACTAATTAATAAGACATAGCTAGCAATATATATTTGATAAAATAAATAATAAACAATATATAGACAAATGCGTTTATATTTCATATATATTTGTGAGTTAAATATTTTATATACTGTATATTTTTGTAGGTGACAAGCTGACATGACATACATTTTCTTATAATAACATAAACAAGTTTTTTGATTTAAAAAAAGCAATTGAAAATTGTTGTAAGGTAAGCTTAAAGAAATACACATATAACAGTGAAATTTTTCAGTCTTCTTGCTTATTAAGTTTCGAAATTTAGAATTAAATACACGGATCGACTGTTTGATAGACCATTTATTCAATGACAAGATATCATAGATTAGTACAAAGAGTATCTAATCTCTAACACACCCCCTCAAACACAGATCCAATGTAAATTAAAATAACATTATATTAATAAAATATAATATAAAACCTTACAAACTATGACAAGCTGCCTAGCCAAGTAAACTGTCAATAAAGTTCCCTAACTTAGCCTTCGGTAGCGATTTAGTCAAAGCATCAGCTATGTTGTCTGCTGTGGGGATATATTCCAGTGATATGGAACCACTGGCAACACAGTCTCTAACAAAATGAATCCTCAGCTCTATGTGCTTAGTGCGCTTATGATGAACTGGATTATAAGC